GTAAATATCGACCCACGGTCGGCACAAGTTGAAAATTTGATTTCGCTCATATTTGGCTCATCGATAACCCTTAATGAGTAATGAAACATGCCGTAGTTAGTTTTCCCAAGTAACGTGTCCTTTTGTTAAAATTCGAGAAAACGCATTTTGCCCGTTCAGAGCTCAAAATCCACTTCCGGTAAAGCGAAATTTTACACAAATTCCATTGACTCGTACGTCAAACCACAACGATTTGGCAGTCTTTGAAGAACACGGATAGTTTTTATGACCCTTTCTTTATTATAAGGCGATAAATTTGTGAAAGGTGTAATAATTTTGTGGCCAAAAAGGTATTGTTAAAAATAGGCCCTATTGACAATTTCTGCCGTTCAAAATTTTTAGGGATAAAATAATGCAAATTTTTACAATGCGCTATAACTTAAAATTCCGCAAATTGACTTTCTACTGCTTAACTAGGCCCCAATCTATCAGAAAATCGAAACAAATCTCTGGGCAAACGATTTTAAGAAGCCCGCAAGACGTTGAGTTCAACCCTAATTTTGCAAAACAAACGCGACATTGCCATGGTTAAAAATAGTGTTACACGGCCCGTCACGCCAGTGTTACCGAGAGATATGCTTTAAACAATTTACTTAAAAAGAGATTAAAAGCCAGTTCGAAATTAAATCTTTCAGTAAACCTATTATTCTCATTGATTGCAGCATTTTCTTCAGATACAACATTTAGAGTCCCTGGGATAGCGTCACACACTTTCATGTTCTTCAGACTGCTGGCGATTTCCCTCAAAAAATGGTATATAAACAGAACAAAATCTAAAAACTAAAACTGATTACTGAATGAATTTTTGCATTGAGAGATATTTGCGACTTAAATCATCGCCAATCAATGCCATTTGGTTTATAAAAACTAATTTCCTTGAACAATTTTAAAGAATAAAAATATTTTAGACTCAGTATTGGTGCAATAGTTCTTTTCGAAGTTTTTACCCTTGCGGGATCTCAAAACTGAAAAAAAAGGCTACTTGGATGCCCCAAGAGGAGCATATACTTGAATGACAAAGTGTATGAATCATGAGGCTACAGCATGACTTTGACCCTTTAAAACAAACTAAGAGGACTCTTTGGTGCTTTACCAGGCTTACCATAAACTCAGTTTCCGGTTGCTTTCGACGTTTCAGTGGAAAATTCCTGAAACAAACGAACGTCTGAAAAGGCAATCGCCTATTTTCCTGGTTGGAAACTTCCAGGCGGAAGTTCGGATTTCATATCTTCAAACCTTTATACTGGGCTGCCTGTGCTGCAGCCCAGTCATAAAATGGGCTTTCGGTCGTCTGCGCCGAAAAACGGCCTCCCGGGGGAGGGAAGACACGAGCGTCTGGTACCGAGAAACGATGTTCTCACAAGTCGTTTCATATGATTTTCTCTTGCACGAACCCTTGCACGGATACTTTTTGTACCTCGTCTGCGCTCCCCCTGAAAAACCCACAAAGCGTTGCGAACCTGAAGAAGGCTATTTGCGTTGTTCGAAGCGATTCGATCATGGGAGTCACTCTATAATTTTTTTATTGTTCGAGTTTAAGTCAGTTAGATGATGTTGGCGCTGGGAAACTCAGAGAAATGCTCGCGTTGCATTCAAACCGACACGCCGTTCACGGTAGGTTCACACTAAAAGATGACTGTGAGCGTCAGGTTTGGAACGCCGTGGCCGCTTCGTGAACTCAAAGAGAGAATTATCGATCGATGTAGTACATGAGCAATTAAGAAGCACAATTTATGAGCAAGGTATTTCACCAGTTGACGACACTATGGCTGAAGACTTGATTGTAAGCCTTCGTAGTCAGTGAAGCGAACAACTCAGTTGCCGATGAATGGAAAAACGCACGTCCATGAGCGAGGGACGTGACAACTTTGCCATGTTAGAAGACTGGCTTTTCCTTTAACTATTTCCTTCTATTTAATACAACACACGCCACTAAATTTCGGATACTGAGGATAAAGAAGACACGGACAAAAATAGGGACCCTGAGAATTTCGCGCACAAGTTTAAAGCTTCACCGGGACATCCCATCCGGGAGCTTCACAGAGAGCGACTTGAGGAAAATAGGAGCTATTACTGACAAGGTTTGGTGACTGAGTAGAGCATACAAGTGTAGCCCACGTCGAAGTTTCAGGGGGTTTGCTTTTGTTTGTATTTGTATCTTGCTAAGCTTTTATCATTAAATTTGTACATGATCTTGTGATCACAATTCTGTGTTTTCGCCCATTCAGCAAGCACGCTATATTGATGTCAGCATGAGCGAGTTTCAGAAACATGCCGTGATGTTTCTTGATATTTCTTTTACCATTTTATGGAGATGTAAACTGAAGTCACCGCAAAATAGAAACTTAAAAAAGCGGATAATCCATTTATCTCGAAACATAACACACATGACTTATGCGACCTTTATTTTCGTAAAGGTGTTTTGAATACGAACGAACACAGTCAATGTGAGGGGCAAAAACAGCATTAATGTAAATGACCATAGGGTTTTAACTAATATAAGGGTCAATTATTGTGCATTAAGATGAATCGCTTGAAAAGAGAGACTTCGCTGGAAGATGTGATCAGAAGTAAACAAAGGCATAATAGTGCGTCACGTTCAGTCTTTTTAATATCCAAGGAGTCACTGTGAATAGTGTTTCCATATTGTTTAGCTGGCACAAAAACTTCGGACGAGTTATAAAGCGGCATAGTTATCTTCCATGAAGAAAAGTTCGTCTTGGGTGAGACAAACAGAACTGGAGCGAATTTTTAACTCGCATCGGTATCAGGTAAAAAATATGTTATCGATCGTTTCATCTATTTACATTGTTTGAAGTGCGTGCTGGTAAACGCAACATGCGAGCGAGAAATCTTTAAACTTTCTCAGGTCTCAAAATGCAAAGGATTTTATTCCTTTAAGTTAGAGAAAAATACCGTGAGGAAAATCTTAAAACTGAATATTTTTCATCTTGTGGAAAAAATAGTGCGTTTTCTTGTAGACTGTGGACCGCAAATTAGGATGGCACTTTGTACAAACATGCGAATTCTGAAGTTCAGAAGCCAACTTCGCAATTGTGTTTATCGCTGCCGTCAATCATAATTACGATCACAAGCAACGAACCTTGAAACAGAGAAACACACAAAACGGATCGAAATCCACAAATCACAAACCATGACCTTTTGAACCCGTGAAGTAAAGTTTTGTTTCCTAAGAGGTCCGTTAAGATGATTGACAGCAGCGAAAAAAGCAATCGTCGGTGGTTTTTGAACTTTAGAGTTCGCATGTTTGAGAAAAGCGCAGTAAAGTCTCCGTGCAGTCAGTGAGGCCCCTGGATCAGGCGGGATCAATGGGCAGTTAACTGTCTGTTTTAGTATACTTCTGGTTTTCATACAATACAATATTTATATCGGTGTAGGAGTTATCACGATTTTGCCGGAGGGGGGGTTCGCAAAAGCCCCCCCCCCCCAGTCTGAATAGGGTTAATACTGGTTATCCCCGTGTTAAATTTAAGGTATTTAACACACCACTGTACTTCTTTAAAGTTTGTTTTTGTTGGGCTCCGGTCGTCGACGTCTTGCCGACGTCGCTCAAAAAAGCCGACTTTTGGGCAGTTCTACACTATATATTGTATCCAAACAAAATGACTCTTCTAAATAAGATAAGTGTATTGAAAGATGTAATATAGATTGTACGCTGGAATTTGGCATATGATCAGCGTTGAATAGAATGTTGAAAGTGAATCTGTCGTTAACGGGCCGTCACGCTATTTTTAACCACTGGAATGTCGCGATTTTTCGCAAAATTAGGGTTGAACTCGGCGTCTTGCGGGCTACTTAAAATCGTTTGCCCAGAGATTTGTTTCGATTTTCTGATATATTGGGGCCTAGTCAAGCCGTTGAAAGTCAATTTGCGAAATTCTAAGTTATAGCGCATTGTAAAAATTTACATTATCTTAACCCTATAATTTTGAACGGTAGAAATTGTCAATTGGGCCTATTTTTAACAATACGTTTTTGGCCACAAACTTATTACAGCTTTCACAAATTTATCGTCTTATAAGAAAGAAAGGGTCATAAAAACTATTCGTGTTCTACAAAGGCTGCCAAATCGTTGTCGTTTGACGTATGCGTCAATGGAATTTGTGTAAATTTTCGCTTTACCGGAAGTGGATTTTGAGCTCCGAACGGGCAAAATGAGTTTTCTCGAATTTTAACAAAAGAATACGTTATTTGGGAAAACTAACTACAGCATGTTTCATTACTCATTAAGGGTTATCGAGGAGCCAAAAATGAGCGAAATTCGAATTTTGAACTTGTGCCACAAAAAGTCGATTTTGGTCGATATTTACAGACAGTCGCTCTTAAATATTGACAAGGGAACAATGGGCGCTTTCCATTTAGTCAAAATTTCCGGAATTTCTGGTTCGGCGGTAAATGGAACACGTTTCGTCGGCTCGTCCCACTGGAAAATTCCCAGAAAAAGTGGAAAATCCAAAAAGGTGGGCCCGTTTTCCCGTTTGGAATTTCCGAAAGGAATGTCGTGTTCCATTTACGTTTCTCGTAGATTGTACCAGTTCCAGGTCCACGGTCGGGCATCGCGACGTACCGGTGTTTACGACCAAATGGAACAACTTTTTACCAATCGGAAATTCCACTTTTGCTCCCACCAAAATTTCCGGGATTTTTTCCTAAATGGAAAGCGCCCAATGTTAACCATTTCTAGAAGAATTCACAAATGCCCGGGGGGATGAGCACGCTTAGAATTGACCGAGCCATAAAGCATATATAAAGCAAGTATTGAAAACAAAGACCAGAAAGTTCAGTGAATAGGAAGAAGAAAGAGTTAGTATAAATGGGAAACAATATCGTAAATTGCGAAAGCCAATTGCAACATCTTTTATTTTATAGTTTTTTTTTCCATCAAATCTGTGACAAGATTATGCTTAATTTATCTTTTCAACAGCAGTCTAACAAAATGTGTTACAGCTAAGTTGTTTAAACGACCATGCAAATCAAGCAGATGTAAACACTGACAACCGCTATTTACTTGTTTAGAAGTTGACTGGTTTGAGTTTCATTTCAGCTCGTTTAACGGAGTAGTAATATCCCTTCCAATGATACCAGTTCACACCATCAGCATATGAAGAGTGTCTTCCGCGATGATAGAGGCCGTTCAGGTTGGAATAATGACAGCCATGGTACCACCAAGCCCCCTTGTAACTTGTAGCACAGTTACTGGACGAGCCGCCATTGTCTCGATCTTTAGTGGAGAAAGAGGAGCCTCTGTGAACAGCTAGCGAGTCACCAGCATTTCCTGGAAAATGAAGTCGGAAGAAGCGATATTTTCTTAAATGTATAGAGTGATTTTACTTCGACAATGAAAAGGGTTCAGTGTTTCCCGCCGTTTTTAGATCGTAAAATCACAGTTATGTGGAACGCTCCAAATTGTATAAATTTGCTTTACTCTATAAATTTTATGATAGCTGTGTGATTATTACATGCTTCACTGTATGTGGGACTAGTTGATGTATCTCTGTGTTAAGTCTTTATTTCTTTAACGTCAAAATCATTAACTTGGGCTTTTATAAGACGTTTCCCCGAATTCGATCCATTTTTAATCTAGTAAGTAATATAATTACCGAAATAACTTCCAAGACTCAGCTTGTATTTGCCTTTCTCGCCAGTTATCGCAAAGTAGCTGTACTCGGCATAAACTGTGTTTCTGTTGAAGTCCTCGAGATCCACTCGAAGTTTGCTTTTAGTTTTTGTCAGGCGGTGAATTCTGTCCAGTCCGAGCCAAAACTCGCCACTCAGATTTCCGAACCCAGTTTTGTAGTCGTTCCAGCCGCGGTAGAAATTAACCGACCCATCCAGTCTCTTCTGGAACACTGTCCACCCGCCACCAGCTGTTGTTTGGTCACAGTACGCGTCAAAGGCACCAGCACCGTCTGGGTCCATCTTGTAAACTCTACTTGTTCGTTTTCCAGCTTTGTACAGTTCAGCACAGTTCTTCGCTGGAAGACATGACATTAGCACTGCGTGTTTTAAAATTGTACATTTAGCAGGATATGGCTACTTTACAACTTCTAAAGTCAACAATAATATCTGCGTTTTATATACTGCAGTGCAAGCATGACACTGTATAACAACCTGTGTAACAAATTCAGGCTAGGAATAATGGCGCTAAACACCTACCAAATAAGTTGGACCTGAGTTTTCCGTACTAAGCAGAGTATGAAATATAGACAATATCAATTAATTAATTTTCCTTTTTTTTTCTACGTATTCAATTGCATGATTTTAATCTTGTACTTTATTAACGAAGAATTTTCTAAATGGCGTAGAGTTCCCTCTTAAATACTTATTAAATGAATAGCCTGTAGGTTGGAAACAATTTTTACCTTATGTGATATCCGAAGAGAACAGTAAAAGGTAATGATTTGAAAACATGCCCAACAATATTTTGGGCCTGCTGAATGTAGTCGGCACTCTCTTTTGACTCTTTTCTTGCGCGTAAAACCGGAAAAATTAATATGGTACTTTTTAGTCATGGTAATTAATTATTTTCGTTTTGTCTTTTCTTAATTACGACTACACTTAGAGAAAGTGCCGATGGAAAGCAAAGTTATCTGGATATATGTATTGAGAACAGTTCTAACCTTTCCTGGGGGAGGGAGGAGAGGAGGGGTCGACTCTTACTCCCTCCGTAATTCATCCTCATCCTCTATCCTAACCCCTAAGAAAGGCATGATACTCAGGCCAAAACAGTTTTTGTTGACTCGAGCTAAAATGAGCGCCTATAATTCTATATTTTAGTTTTTTTTAAGAGAAGTAGAAAGAATCGGGTAGACTCGAAAAAAAAAAGAGACTGGCTAAGCAACCGAGGATCAAGAGCTTCATAACACACGACCTCACCTAAAAATGCAAAAAATATATTGACAATCAAGTGAATAGAAAGTCTCTACTCAGTCTATACTGGTCTTCCGACAATACAGAACCATCAAAAAATATTATGCTATATATGTTGAATTGTTGGCGATATTAGACATAGCAAGCATTAGAATAAAATAAGAGTCCCATTATGGCTCTTGAAAAAAAGCACTGATTCATATAATTTTACTGACCTATAAAAAGTTTGATTTGTTATTAGGTATTAAATTACAATTATAATAATTTTAAAGTGTTACGCATAAATTTTACATATCCCTATCATGGAACTTAGATCTAGTTATAACATCCAGTTAGCATGTTTGCAATTAGCAAGAAGAAAATTGTAATATATGAATGTAACAATAACAATCACGCCATGTCAAACGTACTTCAGTGAAAAACCAACTGGCGGGTTGTCGTTGCGGCAACTAGTATCAAATTCCAATCTGCAATCCTGCGATTTAGACATCTAGAACGGATAAAATTTCCATAAAGTACACGTCAAATTCAACAAAATTTCATGAGATTTCAAAACGCTCGCAATACTCCTTAATACGCGTATACAGGAACTGCAAAGATGAGACTGAAATCTTCAACTACAACGGATTCATTTTCCTGTTATGACTCTAACCAACTCATAATTAAATCTTGTGTGGCGAGCTTGACTTGGCTGGACTGTTATGTCTGTAATTCGTTAAATTATGGAACACCATCTATTTAACAATTATTCCTCGAGCCCGAATGAGCTCTTAAGAAATACTCTATACCAATGCATTTCTTTCCATCTCCTGAGTATCCAGGTTTGCAGGTGCAGTTGTACGACCCTTGAGTGTTGCTACAAACGGCATTCACATCACAGGTATGGGTTTTGTTTCTGCATTCATCTCTATCTAATGATGCAGGGAATAAGGACAACATATGTCGTCAGTGAATCCTAACTAAGATAACTAACTATATGTGTTGTGCCTTAATTTTCGCCTTGGGTTTGTTTTATGGTATAGCAAACTATGAAAATGTGTATGAAACAAAAGAAAATAAAGTTAAACCAAGGACAAGTTGTACAACAAAATATAGTACACTAAATATAAAACCAGCCCAGAAGGATGCTACGTCAGGAAAACATAATAAGGGATGTAATAGTTACCAAAGCACTTTTTTCCGTTTTCATAGAATCCAGCTTTGCAAGTGCAAATGTATGAGCCCACGGTATTCTGACAAGCAGCGTTTGGATCACACCTGTGATAATTGCTGATGCATTCGTCAATTTCTGCGGTAGACAACAAAAGTCAATGAAGACTATTTTCTCACCGTGATCTTACTTGATAGCAGTAAAAGCATACACATGAGGAAATGTTTTAGGAATAACTGAGAGTGATAAGTACAGGGGTTACCTTTACCTAAATATTAAGACTACTGCTTGGAAGACGGCTACATAAAAATGCAGACTTTATAAAATTCTGATCAACAACACGGCGAAAAATTATATGACAAAATTATCATAAAAACTCACTATTGCAGAAGTGATCTTCAAACCTCTCGTTATTGGTGACAAAGGTTTGGATTTGTATTATTTCTATGGCAACTCAAAACTTGCCTTTAACACAAGTATAGTTATAGCATTTATCACATGACACGTCGTTCCAAGTGTAGCCATCTTTCGCACCAAGGGCGTGGACACAGTCTTCGTTTTTCAAGTTGTTTGGTTGTTGCGGAGCCCAGAACTGAAAACTGGATATTTCCTTGTTTGTCCACACAAACGATCCCTCGACGCTTCGGTCACTAAGGCCAATCCATGATCGCTCACCATTGTGACGGTGCTGTATGTAGACATTTTCCTCTTGGTTGTGCACTGTTACCAGATGTGAGTTCATAGCTGAACAGTTGGACACTGCAGTCACCCAAGGTGCGCAAACAGAGCTCGTTAAATAGCAGTATCCATTGAAGTAATCCCATCCATCTGGACAGATATCTGTGCGTATAAATCATAGCGTTGAGTCAGAAATAAGAGGCAATATTGAAAGATTTACAGTAAAAAATGTTCTCCTTTTTGCAGTAAAGTTCTTACCTGACAAAATTATGTAGGATATGAAGAGTGGGTCGTATTTTGCCTCATACAGTTCTTTGACACAAACCCGAAAGCCTTTCCTGCTAATATGCTGTATGTGAAAGCACTAAACATTAGTACTACACTGTGCATTGGAAATGTGGTTGTGGTGGTGGTGGAGTAGGGAAAACAATAGAAATGGGGAGGTGAGGGAGGGAAAACAATAGTAATGTGGTAATGGTGGAGGACGACTCGGGAAAACAATGAAAATGTGGTTGTGGAGGCTGTGGTGGTGGTTTTCGTCGTGAAAGGAAAAAGAAAAAAGGAAGGTGACTGAGCGAAAAAACTGAATTGTGGAGAAGAAGAAGGGGGACTCGCGTAAGTTAAAAACTCGGTTTGTTATTAGAAAGGGCTAGTTGGTCTTCGAACTCTTCAATATGCACGATTTGCTCGCCAAGAATCAGAGAACCTGAACTGGATAAATTGCTGGGCAATGAAAGCAGCAGGAAATAGAACTGGATACTTACTCAGTGATTTCATGTCGAAGGGGAGCTAGCGCTTATTACTTTGACAGCATGAATCAACAAATGAGTACTTTACTTTTTTTAGTCACCAATCAAAAACTACGCATTTGTTTCCCTAAGAAGATATAGAAAGCCCCAGTTTAAAACCTGTTAAATCACCTTAAAATGGCACACGACCTATCTTAATGAGATTCCGCCTACATTTAGATACTTAAAATTCCTACAGTACGCACAGAATCTGTTAAGAAAGGCACTTTTTTCACTGGTGCTCAAGCACCAGTATACACCTGTGTAACTCCTTGTTTTTATCTTTATTTGTTGTAGTTGCCTGTATTCCTCATTGCTGAAATTGGTATTATTCTCACCATTTATGACAGCTTTCGCTGACAGGTTTACCCTTATCCATATACAATACTTTATTTCAAAATAGCAAGCATTGTTACAAACAAGTGCAGTTATTGAGAAAAAGGAAACCCAGAGGTCAACCCTATATGTTATGATTATGATTATGAATTGTATAATAATAGCAATAATAATAATAATAATAATAACAATAATAATGATAATAATAATAATAGAATAAAGACAAAAGGCCATAACGTAATCGGTGTTTATGTATTCCTCGACAGAATAACGAGATTCGGCCGCAAAAAAGGTTAATTAATTCTCTACTATACTACTCCTAATTTAATGTGAAATTTGATATCCTGACATCACTAGTTACCAACCTCCACCCAGGCAGCTATGCTGTTATGAACTGGACTTTGATTCCCTCCCTTTATCGAGTGAGAAGCAGCAACGAAGACGTGTGGCGTTGTGTTATAACTTTTGGCAAAGAATGCCTCCTATAAAATATAAACAAAATATTTCAACTTCAAAGGGAATTGTTACCAAGATATCGTCTACTTCACACACCTCCTTTTTTGTTTCACTCTATAGGTTATACAGTCAAGTTATAGAGACAGATAATTCATTAATTAAAAAATAGAATACTTCCAAATCCAACAGTTTTTTTTTGCATTGATAGAATCCTCTGGTAAGGTCTGGATGGTTAAATCTTACTTTTCTGTTCATAGATACTACATTAAAGTGTCCTTGACTATAGACGGGTAAGAAGGAAATAAACTGAAATTTGAGAATGTCGGCTTTGATTAGGCTTTGCTCCACCTTGGAAAAAGGAGGTCTTTTTGTTTTCCTGACGATTTTGAGGTAATCGTGAATTAACTAATTCTTAACTTTTGCATTTTCACTGAGATTTGGAATCAAACTCAAACGCTGATACTGACCTTGCAAAATGCATTATAATGTCTGCCGTCGGGAGGTTTATCATTTGCAAAGTAGATCGAATTATGTTCTGAAAATGGAGGGTTGGAAAGATCCGAAAAGGCCAGCCAATTCTGAAAATAAAATCAACAACGCGTTATTTCTGGTCAATAGACCGGCAATGCATACATAAGTAACAAAAAAAAAAAAACAATGGCATGAGGTGTGAGGGTGAAGAACTTTGAAAAGTACCTTGCGCTTTTTAAAAACTAATTCTAAAACTAGTAATAACCAAAGGTTACGGAGTGCGGGTAACAACGATAGAAGGTCAAAACCTTTATCCGCCCTGGTCAAAACGCATTTGCTCCAGCGCTGTGCTTTGCGTAAGTTTTACGTGACAGATGGTCAAAACACGCGTGATCAAGTGCGTTCTGTAGATTCCATACATCCTCAGTGGAAGTCCAAACGAATGCTGGCTACATACATGCTACGCATGCGTAATAACAACCTGGAGATTAGGATTGCAGGCTTCTCTTGTCGCACGCAATGAATTTACAGAGTTGCTCGACCGATAATACCGATGGACTTTTCTTTTCAAGGAATCTGTAGAATTACCCTTAGCCTAAACCCGAGCCAGAGTCAAAGCTTTGGCGGAAGGTCAAAGCGGGGCAGCCCGACACATGATCCATGTTTGACATTTAAAATAAGGATACACAATACTTACAACAAAAATATCTCGGTGAAATCCAGCATAATTCTGCAGTTCTCTCATACAAACTTTGCATGATGATTTTGTTACATCTTCAATCCATACACTAGCAGCGTCACGTTTTAGTCCTGGATTGTAATGCTTAGAAGTCACAAAGACTGAAGGTTTGACTGAAAATTTCCCCTGCGAAATAGAACAGGAAAATCGTCATTCTGATAAACATGCATGGCATATTCCGAATTTGCAGTTATTATCATCTGTTCTTATTTATTTATTTATGTAATATTTATTTATTTACTTTACAATCAATTCGAAGAAAGAATGGCGATTTTCATAGATTCAGGAAAGTGATTGAAAGCGGCAGTTTGAACGTTATATTTCACTTCTTCGAAAGTACATAGCACTTTTTCACAACAACAGAGCACCCTCAAAGTTTCATATTTAAAAGTCAAAATGAATGATGTTTATGATCAGAGACGCTTAAGAAAAGAGGGAATTAAGATAAACAAACAAACAGAGCCACTCACGGTGGGAAATTTCACAGTTGCGCAAGTCGTCCCTGTCCACCACTGTAACATGCGCAGTTCACCAGTCACGCCACCCACTGGAGCACCTTGATACGCCATCCAATCAACTGTCACGTTAGCATAAGACTTCCTTTCGTTATATCCAGCTGCCATCACACAGCCAGTGAATCCGTCGTTGTTCACATCTTCAATCCACGATACTGCCACGTCATGGACATAGGATTTGTCAGTGGTATCCATATGATTGACAGTTATCTGCACTTCAATGGATTTGTCAGGATAAAATACAAAAGGCTTGAAATGAATTACTTGACAATGAGAATAACCCAGAGATGGAATATGGGCCATGTGAAGGCGACCACGCTGAAGAGGAAATCCTAAAAAGGAGTTGCAAAGATTAGTTGTAGGCTTATAGTAACAAACTTAAATCCCGTGTTGACGCAACAGTTTTACGCCCAAAATATTCGGAAAGTAAACGGAAGTAAAGTAAAAAAATTACTATCAGTACAACAAGATTAACAGAATTCAGTGAAAAGGTGCACGTTGACCACTAAAAAAGGCAACAAAACTGCTGACCTTCACAACTGCCAGGATGTTGTACGGTAAAGTTTAGTCGATTGAGACAAACTTCCTGTTCAAACAGACATTTGTTGTCGTATGTTGTGCCATTGGATGAACATACGGGTTCTTTGTAAGTTGGACAGCTGTCCAAACACACACAGCGTGCATCATTAGGTCCAAAAGCCTTACACAGACTGTAATAATGACATGTTACATCTATACAAGGATCCAAGTCTAAAAAACAAACATACAAGTGAGGGAATCAGAGGGCATCATTTCAGATTCATTCATTTCGATTTCGTCAATATATAAAACACCATTGAATTTTGTGTTATCATGGAACTGGATGAAAGTTAAGGCTATATTCACAGTATATAGGAGAGCTTTTGCGCCGCCACGAAAATCATATCGGATAGCGCTTCTGTTCACACACAAGAACACAAGAACGGTTGTGGCGGCGTGATTTCCGTCCAGGACGGAGAGAGGCTGGGCCTCGCCAATCTCTAAAGTGGACCTGAGTCACATGTTGGATACATGTAGGTGTTCATACTATACTGGATAGCTTCTCAGTCGTGGCGCCATGAAAAGTTACCCCGCGGTATAATGTGACCACAGCCTAAAGCACATGAGCGCTCAGTTCCATATATGTCGCATATTGCTGAATTTTAACCTAGCTTTTAATCTCACTTTCTTTTGTTTTGGAGCCTGGTAATGTATAATCTGAATGATTTGAAACAAAGGAAAAGAGTTTAAATTTGGGATAAAATTTGATCGAAATTAAACATATGCATTTTTTAAAATCACTATTAGGTTATCGTTAGGAGAGCACTGTGATTGTCTACAGATAAAAGACATAAAAGTCCTTGGTGTTCCTTCATTTTACATTACATAATTTACTACGTACCTCCAATTACCATATAATCGACCTTTATGATATCCTTATCGTTGGCGTCATTGTTGTAGCTTCTCACACACATTTCTGTTTCGTTTGTAGATGCATGCTAAGCATATTCCAAAACAGCAAAATAAAACTTTAAGTTCACATTCCACTTATTATAACATTTTGTTGCACTAGAGTTAAGGTTCTCATTGTATTTTAATAAAACCTAAAATTTTTCAAATTCAACTGACTTGTCGATTTATTGATGTTAAAAATACGGTTAGTGCAAGTAGAGTAACAATTCGCATATAAAAATTGTTGTATCAAGAACCTATGAGACTAAAATTCAGTTTTAAGTCCTCCATTTTAAAGAACCAAACGAGTTCAAAACTATGAAAAAGTCAGTTTTCATCTGACAAGTCTGCGGAAAATTTATGATAAAAACGCTATTTGCCATATTTATATGAAAATTAGAAACCAGTTAAATTAATAACATTAACTCCTTTAGGCAAGAGATCATTCTCTCTTGCTTTAGGCTATACGTTGTTGGAAAAATCTAGGCTTTCAACGTAAGTAAAAGGCCAACGATCAAAGGAATAATTTATTGACTTTTAAACAAATTCTCCTCATTAGAACCACAGGAACAGTAGGGAGACCTTATGTTTCTAACCTCAACCCAGGCAGTAACTAAGTTACATGGTTCGAATCCTGAGAAACGTGACTTTTTGTTATTGTAACCAAGTCTTGGAGACACCACTACAACAGGAGGAGCATAAAAGACATCCTGGAACTTGACTTTCTGAAACCAGGACAAAAAAAAATGATACATTAAATCTCATTTGAAATAGATAGCTTCTTTCCAAGAAAGACTATAAAATGTTACCATCCTTTTTCTGATTCAGTCCTCCGACCAACTAAATTCAAGTGGAAAATGAAACTTTCTTTTCAAAGGATACAATTATTCATGCAAAGATATTACAGGGGCACCCAACGACTGCTTTCTGTGAAATATCTGTTCGGAGACGCAGATTTGGCCTAGACTTTTTTATTACTTTAGGACGGCTAAAAATTTCTTAATGACCGTTCTATTCATGTAAAATTTGCGAAGCTTATCTAATAAATGCCCTACGAAAAGGACGCCTAAAATTTTCGGATTCAAACATCTGATGGAGAGAGGAATCAGAAAAATTTTCACTTTCACAATACCTTAAATTGCATCTAAAATTTTCGGGATAATAACACTGAAGCCCTTGTAATTTCGAAAAGACTCAAGTTCCCCTAGGATAAACGAACAGATGCAAATTTTATAGGGCCACCTAGAATGCATTTCTAGAGATCTAAATACTTTGGATAGGCTAAAAAGAGTTTTCAATGTATTTAGGAGAAAAACGTAGGTAGGCGCCCCTGATATTAGTTAATCCATAATTTGAATGACAAAAAAACAAGCGGGGGAAAGAGGAAAGCAAGAGTGGTCAATGTTGAACATCATTAAACATGACCATATACCTGACAGACAACGTTGTTGTCTTTTTTGTTTGATGGTGAGTTGTTGTTTGTAAACACGAGACTGTTAGTCAAGGTGAAATTGTCAGTCTTCAATTTGATAAAAGCCATCCAATCCTGCAGGAAAGAGGTAAAAACGTAAAGTTATACAATGATGCAGCGAATGCCACGTGCGTCTCGACAGGTTTTAGTGTCAAATATGAAAGTTAAATGTGCGCTTGAATGATACTAAAATAGAATGAATACTCGGTTAGAAATTAAGACATTAGCATTCATAACAAAAGGAGTAACAGTTCAAGGAAATAGGTATCTGGAATGTAATCTCGACTTGTGACAGATAAAACCCCAAATTTCATAATTATTATGGTTAAATATCAATTTAGATGCAACTGGTGCAACCCTTTTTAAGATATATAAAATAAACAATCTGACTGTAACTTGTTGTTTCCAAAAATTGCCAACGTCACAGAATATAAAATTTGTTCTATCACGTTTAAAGACACCACCAATAACAAAACAAGAAGCAGTGGAAGAAATCAAGTAACTGGAATATTACTCACCACTTTAATGTTTTTATGAATTCCATCAAAAATCTTAGTTTCTCTAGCACAAAGTTTAAAGCTGTCCTTGCGCAAGTTTTCCACCCACAAGGCCAAAGCGCCTTGAGATCTTTTAAGAACCTGGTGACGAGCTGTAACGATGATATTTGGAAGAGCCAGGAAAAGCTAAAGAAAGGGAAAAGTAGAGAAATAATATATGTATTTTCAGCGAACAAAGATAATGCAGGGGAGTGTTAATACATGTCTGCCTTAGAAAGCAGCTCCGTTGCTGATCCAGGGATGATACAGTGGAGTGTTAAAAATAAAATAACTATTTACGAAAATCAGTGACCACCTCACTCAACCTCGTCCTGAGGACGAGGTTGCACGTCACTCGTGACCACATTATGGCGAGATAATCTTATTCGCTAACACAATCTGTGGGCGAAGGCCTATAGTGTTACCATTCAAGTATTTGGAACTTCTCTGTCAGTCGACCATTTATGAGTACAATTTAATTATAAGGAGTTTACAACGGAAGTTTGAATGTTTTTGTAACTATATTTCTTTGGCTTTTTTGCAGTAGTGAAAGTATCAATTACAAAAACAGGGAAAAAGGATATAAAAACAAAAACGATTTGATCAGGGTGCTTTTACAAAATCACAATTATCTAAAATCGATAAAAAAAATTTAAATGAAAATCAAAATGTGAGATCTAATTGAATGAATAAAAAAGAGTACTGACATCTTTTTGTCATCAAAAATTGGCGAGGTAGTCTGCGCCAGACTTTTTGCCTTTATCAGAAATTTAATCCTTCATATTCCTTCTGAAACTGTTTGTTTTAATTGTCCTTATATTGGCTTCAGTGTTTTCTTCCTTTTTAAAAAAAATTACATTGCTTCGTTCTTTTCCTCCAGCATCGTTTGTAAATGAATCTACCCGTGACAAAAACTATTGTACCATGTAGTTATTTTTATCTTTCTTCAACTATGGATTTATTTCCCATCTCTTAACTAGTCTGTTACTTTATTGATTAATTTTGGTAACATATTTACTTGACCCACTTGTTTCTCAAATGTTGTTAAATTTTCTTGATCTAAATATTTATATATTTTCTTCTTAAGCTGCTTCAGTTTGCCTTTCTAGTCCTTTAAAACCCCCATCTTTTCTCACCTAGCTATTTCTTTTTCTTCATTCTAATCTCCTCTTTGTTCTTAATTTGTTCTTTTCTGTCAAAACAAATTAAGAACAAGAAAGAGATTGAAGAATTATAACTTAATATATAGATTTAGCCAGGGCTAAAAGCGAACAAAAAAAATTAAATCGTGTAATGCTAAACGGGGACGACAATGAAAATGGCTTCAAGACTAATAGATCAAATTAGCTAAAAACAAATTGCACGTGCAGCATACTTTTTCTTCTAATTAGCAAAAAACGAATTTGCACCTGCAGCACGCTTTTTCTCTTTCCCTTGCCGTTGTTTTGCACGACTACAACGCTGTTTTGTACGACTAAAACGTCACACTTCCTAGTTACACATTACTTTTATGGATGAATTGTTGTATGTGCTTACCCAATATTTTGTTTCGTGTGTTCATGTTCGCTTTTATTTTTCACTGCCGCTCATTTTCACCTTGCTGGCCGCTAGCATTTCTCATTTTCTCACTGCCGCTTTGAATTTCCATGTTTTTCTTCCTACGAAATTTGTCTCCTTTGTTTTCAATAACTCGCTCTAGCTCTTTCTCTGTTATCCACATTATTGTAAACAGAAAAAATAATGCCGAAAAAGACACGACTTTTTTCTTTCTAAAAGTCCGGGCGGCCATGTGATTTCCTTCCTAATAAAACCTTGAGTTGCATTTGGATTCCCATACCTGTTGATTGAGTTTTTCACATTGGTATGCCTGTGGTGCGGACTGACGGTCGCTCGCTCGCTCGGCGGTGTACGGTCACGTGAGTACCAAATTTTCTCGGATGGGTAGATTGCCACATTTCCTTAGCTATGGGGCCCCGCTAAAATTTAACTATTGAAGTGGTTGAGGCGCACTGGTTTTGGCCATTATATTTTCAAAAGCGGATTCTGAGCATAAACCTTTCCTTACCAGTAAACTGCTCATTTTATTCCTTAGCCACATTCCGCTAAAATTTGGTGATTGAAGTTTGCTATGGTAGCAAAATAAGACGTCATAAATAGCATAAGGCTAAGCGACTTCTAAGAAAAATGCGCCATACTTTCTTTGTAAAATAAATCCATCTACCATCGTTACAAAAAAGAAAGATACTTAATTATAGCATGCTTCAAACCATAGTTAATTGAGTGGAATGGTTATGAAACCCGTCAGACTCCTTTGTTATATGTTTTTGTGGACCTGAAAGTGCACAACGTTCAAAAGAATTCCTATCATTTTGATTGTATTGACCAATAAAAACGTTGCATTAATTTATTCCGTAACAATTTGCCAACAGAAAACAAAGGATTGTGCACTTTCACGGTACTTCCAACATAAACTGCAGCACTGTTGTTCTTATCATTGATGTTTGCCGCTTTTCATAACCAGTCTCCTCTAATAACTATGTTCAAACTTAATGCTCAATTTTTGTGCCAATAAGACAAATTTAGCAAAAACGACTTTTATAGGAAAATTCATTACCTGACGAGGGAATTCCACGTTAAATTGCACGCGAAAACCGATATCGCACGAATCGCGAAGCGATGAGTGCGATATCGGTTTTCAAGTGCAATTTAACGTGGAATTCACGAGTCAGGTAATGGATTTTCCTTGAATCGCATAACTGAATAAAAATCAGAAAAAAAAAAAAGAAAACGGCAATAATATTGTTTGTTTTTATCCTGAGCGCGCGCTCCAGAAAGCCATTTCAAAGTCACCTATCAGAACTGTCATTGCGTTAGCAAATAGGAGGCAAGGTCAGTCGTACACGTTTGAACCCTCCACAACTTTTTTTGTACCTTGTGCTTGTTTTTACATTTGTTTTCAAACTTTTTTTACACGTAAACAAGCTTCACACTAATCGTAAGGATAAATAGAGGTATTTCACTGAATTTACAATCCGTTATCTATAACATCTTTTTTCAAATTGGTAATTTGCTCGAGAAGGAAAATAATTTACACCTTTTACCTCTTCGGCGGCAAAACTGAAAGAAATGAAGTGTCCAAGCGAAAGCACTGAAAGTTTAACGTCGCGATTGATATATGGTAAGTACCTTGAAATGTTTTAGAAATTCTGTTCAAGTTCAGCTCTGTTTTGTACTTTTCTAAGTATCATGATTCAGGACGATTGCAAGCGGCGTACTCTTTTTCGTGTTTTCAGGGGCCATGTCGTCTTTCAAGGTATTTATTTCTTCCTCCGTTGTCGCTTCTCCGGTTTGTTTGGTTGAACTTTGGCTTGCCATTTTCTGGGCCGTGTTCACAAGATTTTCTTGTTTTCCCGTTGTCGCGAGCGAAAGACGTTTTTGTTCCTCTTCGAGAATTTGTAGTTCAGTTCAAAACATGGAAGAACCTTCGGCTCACTAAAAAAACGCTTTTGTTTGTTTTTAACTCTTCAAAAGGTGACAATGGTTTTGAAAACATTTTAAAATGACATTATAGAAAACCTTTTTTGCAGTTGTTGTGTTAGAATTTGACGATAGTTGTTGCGTAGATGCGAAACAATATCGCTTAGCCTCGTTTTCAACTCGCAATTCCACACTAAATACCTCGCTTCGTTAACCAATCAGAATGCGAGATTTTACTCAATTATGCGATTCTAAATGAAATTCAAGATGACACGCATTATGGTCGCCACATTAATGACTTCACGGATTCCCAGTGGTGCCATACCCCATAATATTAATATTATTTTGCTGAGCTTATCCCATTCTCTCAGTCAAAGGTTTCATGTCTTTAAAAATATGATAAACACAGAAAAAAATTTAAGATGACATAAAACAAGAAATTAAACATGTCACGCTTTCTACAATAGCATCTAACAACTGAAACTCGGGTATGACTCTAGCACTTATAAATAGACTACGATTGTAAAGCGAAAGGCTGAAGGGTTTTGTGGAGCGGAAACAAACGAAATGAAATAACAAAGGATGAAAAGCTGAGCTAATCAAACCTTTTCAAAATCGATTTGTTTACACTTTGTTCCAGTAGTCCAGGTATTTAACGAGGCTGTGCCTAGTTGCACGCCAGCAGGTACAGATTGCAACGCCATCCAGTTCACTTGCGAAGCGCCACTTGAGCCATCTCCGTACTCCAAAACACAGACAGTAAATGCCTTGTTATTCACAGATTCCACCCAAGTTGCTGCACCATTTCCACGAGCTCGAGTAGAACCTTCCGTTGCATGGCTTATAGAAGTGAAAACTCTAATTTCTTGTCCAACAGTAAAAGGCTCTTCAAAAGAAACATTCTTACAGGCAAACAGACTCATAGTTGTGGTCACATTGAATCTTCCTGCTTTGAAGCTGAGTCCTGTGGTACAAACAAGAACAAACTATTAACTGCCACTGTGCGACTATTCGACATTTTTTACCCATAAAGATACTGTGATAATTTAAAAGTAACTACTTGAGAACAATGCTTCTTCCTTCGTGAAATTAAAGCCTTCTTGTAACTTACAGTTCTTCATCACTAAATCAAAATTTTACGAGCACAGTATGTTTGTATGGAACAGTTCTTCTATAACATAAAAACATCAATTTCGGTATCGTTCATACCTTCAATTTCTTGGTAAATGAGGGCAACTATGAAGAAAATCGCGAAGAAGTGTACACGGAGCTGATACTCGGTAGACATCTTGCTTCCAATGAGTGAAAATCTAGCCTGGTCTTCAGCATTATACTTCTAAGGAATACGTGCCAATAAGGTTTAAAGCGAAAGTATTACACGTTGTGAGTCAGCACAATGAAAAAAAAAAATGCCTGAGAGGGTAGCAATGAGATGCTTAAGGAGAAGCAAAGAGCTGATATGTAATGTTGTAAAGATACATATACCTAGTGGGAGTAGATATGTGAGGTCTTTGACTTCCCTGGGGATACAAGAGCAAGAAGATGGTGTATGATTCCAGGATCACTTAAACAGTAAAAGTTAACAAATATCTAGACTAAAACGAAAACTTTGAGCAGTTTAGCTTTGCTTTTGAAAAATAGGGGAAGCTCTGCAGGAGTTTAAAGGCAATTAAATTTCAGGCAACAATGTCTCATTTAGCTGCTAAAGCAAATTATTTTTCTGCTTAGAAGTATGTTTTATCACTGATTATAAAATAACTAAGATGGTACGCGTGTTCTGATTGGTTAAAGACCTATAGTTTATTGTGCCGGTAAAATCATAGAAAACTTAAAGTTATTTTATAAAAGCAATAGATAACACTTTCTATGGGTTTACCGGCGTGATAACCCACTTGGGATGTTGGGAGAACACTCGAAAAGAGGATATTACACGGTGGCACGGAGATATGAATTTCAAAACAATATTTTACGAACGAGCGCATCGATTGAGTAAATATTGTTTTTGCCCGGAGAAAATAAAATTCATATCTTCAAGCCGCTGTGTAATGTTTTTTTTTTATTATATACACAAAAAACATCTATAAAATAATACATTTTTATTTGCCAAAAAGTAATTGAGAAATAACACTGAGCTGAATAGGGCTCTACAATGACAAAATATAAGCAAAGATTTAAAAAATGTATAAGTAAAATTCAAAACATGATACGTAATAAAAAGCTTTGAACTCCCCGGGGGGGAGGGAGGCGAGGATTTGGGACTAAACAAAGTGAAATTTAGCCGATCCCCCCTTTGAATGTTTCTTCACTGAAGTGATCACCCCTAATAGCTTTTGATTAGCCTGCGTAGCAAGCGTTTCCAGTCGAGTTATTGCGCGAAAGTTAGAGCGGAAGCAAAAAAACGGTTGAAGGGGGAGGGGGAGGGGAGAAGAGGAAACGCTTGCCCGCAAACCCCACGATTCTGGAAAACGCCCCTTGATATTTCACGGTTCGGTTCATTTGTAAATTGACAGCTCGTCAAAACAGAAACATAACGAACAGATTACCCCTGGATTACCAGATTTGTAAAATTACTTTGTTCTCTAATAGAACACGTTGCAGGCGATTGCAAGAACTGTAATAAAAAAGATTTACGATAAAAGAAAGTTAAAACTATGAGCGATTGCTGCAGAATTTCTTGTTTTTTATTGCGTGGCTTTATCTCGTCTGAAACCTTGTCGACACGTCAAAAATGATTTGTCGGGTATAAGTTTTGCAGAGCGGCTGCTCTTCAGCCTGTGTCGAAACGTTCTCTACAATAGATGCCGCTAAATTTCCAATAAGAACAAAAAGAATCTTTTCATTTCAAAAAGCTGACAGATCGCTTGTCCATGGCGGCTTTAGCTGGTGTCAAGTACCGATGTTCTGATTCATGTTGATGTTATCTGCAACAAACAGTCCATTTTTGCCAGTCAGATCTGCACGCCGTCATTCTCAATAAATTGGCCTTCCCTAGTCTCCACTGCTCGATCTCCAATTACACTTTGAAGACTCTGATCTCATAAACCTTCGCACAAACACGATTCCAATAAATATCAGTCCAAAGCATTTGTAATCTGCGACCACAAATCAGAAGAGACCAGATCTGTGACGCACGAAAACAAAGCATACCTGGTTTGATTGATGTTTCGAATACTAAGTAATCAACACTACCCGCACCGCGCCAATCATAAGCTGCGTTCGTGGGCGAACGCAGTTTTTCAAAATCGTGGAGTTTGCGGGCAAGCGGTTCCTTCGTTCCCCCCACCCCCGCTCCCCCGTCATTCATGTTTTTTTTGCTCTTGTCCCAGCTTTCTAGACGAACCTCGCGAGGAAACACTTGCTACGCAGGCTAGCTTTTGATGGCTTTCGCGATCCCGCCACTTGTCTTCAGTGGTCCCTCTCTGAATCCTTCCAAAGTTTTCAGCGATTCCCCCTTTTGGGTTCTTAGTTACTACTGATCCCCCTTTTTTCTCCCAAGAATCAAGTGATCCCCACTAAAATCCTCCCCCCTCCCCTCCAGGCGATAAATAAAGGTAATAATCTGAGTCATCGATAAACATGGAAATAAACCACTTGGGTCCCAGATGTAGTTTTTTATGAATTTTACAAGTGGTATATCTTCCAGTAAAACACTCGTTTCTATATAATAACGTACAGCTTTTCTCGTGTTCTCCCAACATCCCGCATGGGTTATCACGCCGGTAAACCCATAGAAAGTGTGATGTATTGCTTATTAGTACAATCCAGCTAGTGGTCTATTATCAATGCTGCGTTCGGATTGGTTGAGCTGCTACTAGGCTATATGTTATAGCCCACTAGTAGCGAAAAGCGCGGGCTTTTTAGCGGCAAAAAGGATTTAAGTCTCGATTTAACCAGCAAAAAATTTTTCATTCTCGATATTTTTTACAAACTAGTTGGATTTTACTAAAACAGTTATTCCTCTCGCCCTCATGGCCTCTGAGCCAATAGCCCATTCGGCCTTCGGCCTCATGGGCTATTGACGCAGAGCCCATTCGGGCTCGAGGAATAATTGTTAAATAATCTCGTCTATTCCATTTCAATCATTTGCATACGGGCAGCCAAGAAAATTCAAAATTACTGTGCGATAAGACGCTCTCTTATTAGATTCGTAGACTTTAGTTACGAACTTGTGATCATTTGCGTCGAACTTTCTTTTTTATGATATTTCAGCTATCCTCTAGTAATCACATCATCTAACTCAGTGAAGTGCTACTGTGATAAACTGAACAAAAAGCATTTTTACCTCCTCGAGGCATGGTTTGCATCATATTTTGAAATAAATACAATTTATCACCAGTCCTTCTGATTTTTACGTTTAATAGTTCAATATTATAAAGGAAATAAAGGGAGATGTAAAGAATCAACCATAAGAGGACACAGAAAAATCTGAGCCCCAGATGGGATTCGAACCTACGACCCTCCGTGTTCTAGATCGGATGCTCTAACCTCTGAGCTACTGAGGACTCGTTGGCGAGCAAGGGTCATTTTTGTGGGTTGGACTTGCGAACCGCATCTCGCAGTCACACAGCCCATCACAAGCAACACATTAAGGCTTAACTGTATCACACAGTCACATTAATAGCAAGAAATGTCTCACCCATGAAGGAGCCTCCAACCAACCAACCTATGCCACTGATATTAATATTATAAAGGAAATAAAGGGAGATGTAAAGAATCAACCATAAGAGGACACAGAAAAATCTGAGCCCCAGATGGGATTCGAACCCACGACCCTCCGTGTTCTAGATCGGATGCTCTAACCTCTGAGCTACTGAGGACTCGTTGGCGAGCAAGGGTCATTTTTGTGGGTTTTGTGTCCTCTTATGGTTGATTCTTTACATCTCCCTTTATTTCCTTTATAATATCAATATCAGTGGCATAGGTTGGTTGGTTGGAGGCTCCTTCATGGGTGAGACATCTCTTGCTATTAATGTGACTGTGTGATACAGTTAAGCCTTAATGTGTTACTTGTGATGGACTGTGTGACTGCGAGATGCGGTACGCAAGTCCAACCCACAAAAATGACCCTTGCTCGCCCTCAGTAGCTCAGAGGTTAGAGCATCCGATCTAGAACACGGAGGGTCGTGGGTTCGAATCCCATCTGGGGCTCAGATTTTTCTGTGTCCTCTTATGGTTGATTCTTTACATCTCCCTTTATTTCCTTTATAATATCAATATCAGTGGCATAGGTTAATAGTTCAATACTGAAGGGATAAGACTTCCTAGGAACTTATCGTTTTAAACAGTTTTCAGGTTATTATGATTTTTCGTTTTGGAATCACTTTTGAATTTCTATTTGGTCTTCGCGTTGCTCGAAATTTAAAATGGTGGCTCAGTTCCTAAGTCGGTATAAAATGATCAGACCACTTATCATTTGACCAGTTTCTCTATTTAAGCACTCTCTTAATTTTTATTTAGTGTCGATTGATGTTTAATCGGTTTTATTGGTAAACTAAGAAACAGCAGTGAAACAGATGTTCTGTAGGCCACGATAATGGTGTCACCACAGAAATTTCTATTACCCAAGGCATGGAATACCTCTACGAATAAGTCGGGCTTGAAAAACCGTACAGAGATGAATTTGTGGGAGATTGTTGATACATCAATCTTCGATCATCTCTCGTTTTTGCGAATCGGTTTTCGCGCGCCAGACGATAGTTTATAAGAGTTTTAATACAAGTTAAAACCGGCGGAAGGAATCCAAAAAGTAGTTAGAGCAGGGCTTAAGTTTCTTGTAAGATTCACTCATCAGATTTTTTTACGGTATTGAATTCGGGCTGAATAACGACTCGCAGTTTCTTACCTGCGCTGTATCATTGAGGGGATCGATGGTTAATTTCCAATGGATTTTGGTTGAGCAGCTGAGAGGTGCTAGGTCCTTTTATTAGCTTATATTTATTAGAAGGCAAGGAAAATTTATTATAGCCGCGTTTTCTGTAAACAAAACGAAATTAATGAAATGAGTAATGTGTGAAATTTGCAAAAGCCGCTTTGTTATCTCTAGTTTAACTCGATTTAAGTGCAATCACACACATCTCTACTAAACTATCGACAAACAAGGAATGCCATAGACTGATAGTGAGTACATCTGTATTTCGGATATCCTCAGAATATTAGTGAGTGACATGGTTGCCATGCCAGGAATGTTAATTCCTTTCGCTTTTAGGTAAGAAGTCAGTCATAAATTTAACTGTTTCAAAGAAGTCAGAGAGAGGTGACATATTCACAGGAATAAAACATTTGTTCCAC